CTCTTTATGTAACAAATTTTTCATATTATAATCAAATTATATCATAGTAAAATTAGAATAATCTATATTATGAATTATGATAAAAGTTATACTTGTAATTATCTAAAAAAAATATAATATAATAAAATTTTGATATAGTATATAATAAATATTTGTTCAAAAATGAATAATAAATTTTTTCTTATATAATAAAGATTTGAATTACATGAAACTTTGACAAATTAAATTAACTATAGAACTTTCAAAAAAAATCAAGTGATTTTATTTATTGTTAATTGTCACACTTAAAATAACCTTGACAGCTTTGATTTAGTAGCTATCACGTGAAACTGCTAAAATTCTTCAATAGAATAAAGATCAAAGTCTTTAAATATGAACTTATTATATCAAGAGATTTTCATATAGTAAATATCTCGTTATAAGATCATGACTCGATGACTATAATATAAAAGGATTCACATGTATTATATAATTCAGGAGCCGAAACGATGATTATCTTTTTGTAGAAGTAACTATCACAATCATCTTATAATAAGGCGACCAACTCCAAGTAAATCCAACCAAAAATTGTGTGATTCATGTCCCATACTTCCTGGTTTCGAATCTAAGAATAGACTTCATTTCGAATTATGTTGAATGTCTGAATGCAACATCCTTTCCAATCTCTAGTTTCACACTTTGCAGAAATGTAATTTTATGTTTTATATTTTGTCTTTTTCGTGAGGTGAGTTTGGTACTATGAACTCACATCAAAAATATTATCATTATCAGAATTGAGAAATGTGATTCATGTGAAGTTTTTGCGCCAAAAAAGCTACAATACATCATATTGATATGGTTAACGGGTTTATGTAACTTTCATGCATAAATGCTGGACTCCACAGCTAAGAGATGACATATGAACTTACATACTTTATTTACTATATAAGGCATTGCAATTTTATGCGCCCAAAGATTAAAAGAAGCCCATTAACATAGTTATTTGTAGTACTGGATACTTTTGGGTACTGTGTCTGCTTTCCCTTTTGTGTTCATACCAGTGAAACCATATCAGCTGATCTAAGGTGCCAGGTTTTTTATGAGAGGATTCAAGAAAGCATTATTTAGTAAACTAGAATTGCTAAAACTAATCATTAATATATTCCTGAAAGAAGATGCGTTTACTTGGTTCCACATTAGAAATTGTTGAATAAGACGAGTGTCCGCCAGACTATGAAGTATGTTAAATACATATATTAGTGATTCATTGCCCGTCAAACTTTTATCTGATTGGTGCTCTCGCAGAAAATATGTAAACTTTTGGGAGGCTTCGTTACAAATATAAAGTCAAATTTTTTTGTAATTAAAAGATTCATATGAAACCGTTGAATTTCGTTACTTTTTAGATCGACATAGCTCCAAAAGTCACGTCCCGCATTTTATTAAACAGTAAAGCACTGGTTAAATAAATGTTCATATTCATACACCTCTATCTTTATATATGCTTTCGTTTATTTGAGAATAACTTTGCAAGTTAAGTCTTTAGCACTTGATAATGATTATGATAATTAAGCGACAAAACCAACCATTACAACTCCCTGTATAAAGTTCTTGATCTCACACTCAGGTCGCATGTAATTTATGTGCCAGCATTTTTCTGAAGTTCTCTTCACACGAGAGAAATCTGAATTTTGTTTGTCTTTTTATTTTCTTTGAGCATGAAACCAATATGCATGTACTTCACAATGACTCGCTTTATAATGTATCAGAAAAATCTGTTAGCAAATTTTTCAAAAATCTACTATATCGAGATTTTTGAAATCAAGTGGATTTTATTAAAGTAAGTTTTGGATATTATCCACTATATCGTGAGTTTAATCAGTCTTCACTACAAAAGAAGGTAACACTATAAAGAGAATCACTGTATATTTAGTATTAAATAGGTCAAGAAGAAGCGCAATCAATAATTCATGTTGCTTAGCAAAAATTTGTACGCATAAAGAAATATGTAGTAGAATTTGTTACGCAGATTCTAAAATTCTCCGAGTATTGCATAAAATATAACAATCGACTACGCGCGCGTCTATTTATATACACGTAATGTTTAATCTTTTGTTTTGTCTGCTGGTAATAAAATAAGAATGCTTGGTCGATATTTAGATTCAACACCTTTACTCAAAAATTTCTTATCGATTCATAAAATATCAACTGCATATGCACATTATCAGTTCTTTGTCAATTTTTTCCGGGGGGCGTTCTTGCCCGTTATATATTAGTTCAGCTTCTGTGTACCATTTCACAAATTAAAACCGTCGAAAATGTAACGAACGACGATCAAAATGTTAAGTTGATTTCACCTTTTTTGGACACAATAATACATACATGCACATGTACAATCGCAATGCTATCAATAGAATAGCCTAGAACTTGAGTAAAAATTCACAACAAACGGGTTTATTTTTGCCTATTCGCTCTCGTTTATTTCCAGAGAATGTACGTACCGATCTTCTTTTTCATGGATTCTCTGATATATTTTTACATAGTTTGTTTATTGATCGATGACGAAATTTATGACGAAAAAGGGTATACATTTGTTCAATAGGAACAATAAACATGTATGTATTAATCGACAGGGGAATAAATTAAAACATAAGAATGAATATCTTTAAGCATTCAATATTTGTTTCAGTCCATTGTTATTGAATTTTAATTATTAATAACCGAATAATTAAAATTAATAATAAAAACGATCATTTGAGCTGTCGTATTTTTAATTAATTACAATTAATTATTTTATATAATTACGCCGAAATTCTACTGTGATAGACATGTAACAGTATTAAATTAAATAATCAATCAGCCGATAGTGGCTAGATTTGTCAAACACTTTAACGGCAATGGTGGCTTTAAAATTAAATATTTTTTGTATTTCCACATGGTGCATGTAATATTTCGTATGTGTCACCACATTGTTTTGTTCTGCGCATTAATTTAAAATTTTTGATGCAAAACCGAAAAGGAAAATGCAACAGAACAATAAACCCGGATAGTCTGGAAAAGACCATCAATTCCGTCTTCACTAATTATATGTATGTAATACACAATATGGATATGAAATTTTCCTTTTGAAAATGCCAGGTTTTTCCAGTTTGTGATCTTATTTATCATCTAATCAGTTTGATAAACCCCATTTTTGCCATTATGTTTTTTTCATTAACGTTGTTATTCTTTGTGTAATTGGCTGGGAATTTTACATAATCGGTTCAGCCGATCCTTCTTTCTCGGGAAGAATCCACCATTGCAAAAATAATTCTCGGATGTCAGACACAACACATACATGGGACACAAAATCACGAGATCTCCATAAAAAAAATTACATGAACTTGGAAATCTTTTTAAAAATAAGAGAAGCCTTCGGTTATTGATTATGTATGATAAAATCATGCGTCAAGCAATGAGAAGTGAGAATTCGAAAGCGCAAAACACGATGTATTACAAACTAGTCCCTTTATTTACATGTAACTAGGAAATGTTATACATATGTTTATGCTAGAATTGCATGGACATTTTTGTTATTACGTATTTGTCATTATGTACTATATTCTAAGACTAACTGGGAAATAATAAAAAAAACAAATAAATCATTGTCGTGAATCAATAACAACGATAAAATAACTACATCCATCTTGTGTACAAACACACACGGAGTTTTGGCGCCCTTTTTGGTATCAACAAAATTCCATTTACATGCATACTGAATGTGAGTTGATTGTCGTGGTTTATCTTTTGCATTTTACCGGTTTGCAATTAAATAACTGGGCTACCCGCTAGGCTCCAATTAGTTTGATCAGTGTCGGCTTTTAATCTCCTGATCTCTCGCTTTTTGTCAATTATGCCCGTGACATTTTTCAACTAGTTTAATTAATTACTGTATGCACGTAACTTATTCAGCGATGTTATCATATTCTCCGTCTATCTAGCATCGAATTGAGAGATACGTGTAATAATGATAATATTAAGTAAATACTGGTTACAAAGGATGGACTGTGCGTAGAAAACCGACTTTTAAGTAAATAAATAATGCGCTAGGTTAACTTGATAGTACAAAATAAGTTATAGCTTTTTTGCTGTTAGATTAATTCGGTTAGAGGACTGAATTTGGGAATAACCCGCCGAATTTTTTTTTTATTATATGTATTATTTATACATGCACGCATATACACGTTCTTTGTGCTATTTTATCGCCGTCATTTCTATTTTATACGAGCACAATACGTAACTGATAGCACAGCTTTTAAATAATCGCTATTAAAAATTGCATAAAAAATCCACCGCTTCCTTTTTATATAAACGAAGGTAAACAATCTCAAAGTTTTAACCTTTTGCGTTTTTTCATTGTTCGCATATACATCTTTTTGTCGTCGTTTTTTAGAAAGTCGACTTTTTTCAAAAATAAAACCTTTACAATCACTCTTTTATCTCACTATTCATTCATTCCTTTATTTTCTTTCTTTTTCTACGCTTAATAGTGTTTTGCAATTTTGCAAAAAAAACAGAATTTTACCACGCGTTCATTCATTCATCTACTCATTCCCCTCCTTTCTTCCTATTCTTTCTTTCATTTATATTTGATTCTTTTCGAATTACAGTACTGATAAAATATAGCAAATAAACTTTCATTTTTCGTTAAGATCACCGTTCAAAAAACAAACACAATCACAACGATAAACTTTAAAAAATTAACCTAACGATCGTGACAATTTAAAATATCGTATTCAAGAATAAATGACAAATAAAACTCATGATTTTAAGCACAACAACGGTTTTATATAATTATAATATTCATAATTATACTCTATCTATTTTTCTATACACTCTTGATTTTCGTATACTCAAATATCTAATAGTGAACAATGCTAGAGAAAGTAATGGGTCTCTTTCGTAATTTTGCCTGTGGCTCTTTTTCTCTTTTCAAGAAGAACAACAATAATAATCAACAACAAAAGAAACGGAAAAGTTTTATGCTAAAGCCCCGTCAAACGCCATCAGCAACACCCACTCCGGTATCTGACACACATCTAATAAGTAGTGAAATTATGACCTATAATCATACTGACGAGTTTCGCTATTTTGAAGGCCGTCGATTTCATAATGTCACTAAATCCCGCTATTGTTTACCAAATGACGAAACCGCCTTGAAGCAAGAACATAAATTTCATGAGACTTTACGTACAGTATGGCAGTCTAACTTCTCTGCACCTATCGCAAATATGCTAAAGAAAGGCGGCGTGAGAGTATTGGATGTCGGGTATGTAATGACGCTCTTGATTTCTATTCAAATTCAGGAGATGATGATCATAATTAAAATTTCTATTTGTTATTGATAATATTAAGTTGTGGCGCAGGTTCATGGATTGTGGAAATGGCACAACAATATCCTAATTGTCATTTTACAGGCGTGGATCTTTCACAGTTACTAGCCAGGGAAGCAAGACCCGAGAACGTAAGCTTCATAGAAGCAAACATTCTGGATGGTCTGCCATTTGCAGCCAAAATTTTTGATTATGTACATATGAGAAACATGATTTATAGTTTTTCAGAGGAAGAATGGAAATTCGCTGTAAAGGAATTAATAAGAGTTACAAAATCAGGCGGATTTATAGAATTAATGGAACTTGACTTATCTTTACATAATGATGGGCCTATATCGAGACTTTTGCATAACGGACGTAAGTGAAATTTAGGATTCGGGTTTCTCTCTGTTACGTAATCTGCAATTAATAATCGGAACTGACAATATTGTACATGTAATAGGATCATCGGATCTCCAATTACGAGGAATTGCTGTGAAAATACACGATGTCATTCAAAATTTGATGGAGTCAACGCAGCAATTCTCGCTTACTGAAAAACAACAAATCACAATACCCTTTGGAAAATGGGGTGGAGAAATAGGAGCGCAAATGGCTGATGGCGCAAGTAAGCAAAGAATAAATTTCTTCGATCTTTTTCCAATTTGCGTAATTTATCTTTTTTGTGTTTCCTTAGTATGCTGCTTTCGGACTTTTAAAATGAAATATTCCGAGGCGATCGGCGTCGAACCACAAGAATATGACAATATGCTTGAATCATGGTCGGATGAGGTTGACGAGTATCAACCATGTTGTATTGCCTATCGTTGGTGGGCGCAAAAAGTGTACTAGATAAAAAACAACACCTTTTTTTTTTCAAATCTTCTTGTACAAATTTCATTTCTTTTTGCCCTTCCAATCAACCCAACAAAATACCAAAGTGAACAAATAAATAAGCAATAAGCGTATTTGGTATATTTGACTTTTCTGTGTTGTTGATTTTATTGTATATAGTTTTTCTTTCTTGACGTATTGATGACTCGTTTCATCTAATTATATAATAACATCGTTCTGTGAATTTAGCATTTATTTTTTGATTGTTTGTATTTTTTATTTTATTTATTTAGTTAGTTTATAACTTTATTTAAAACCTTTAAATTTCCCTTCGCTTAAGCCTTTAAAATTTTTTCGTAAAAACTAACCTAAAAGTTTAAACCACCAAAAAAACTATAAAACCTAAGAAAGAAGTTTCTCCTTCATTATTAATAAAATTTTATGAAAACCTATCGTTACATTTAATCTCGTTTTTTCATCGCATTTTAATTTATTCAAGTAGTTTTTTCAAAAATCCAAAACGTGGACAGGAGAGAAAGTAATGTGATCAGCTTTAAACCAAATCTTGGCTGTACATGTACATGTTATATTTAGCAACATGTGATTTTTAAGAAAGTGCAAATTTGCTGCGGTTATTTATTGTATTTTCGGTTTTGTAAACATCCCAAATTTTTCAACATTTAGAGAAACAATCACTTTTGCAAACCGATGCAATTACAGTATTTTCTTAGTTTTGCTAATACAAGGATAAAAACGGCTTGCCTAATTTTTAACTTTCAACATTAATATAAATTTATATAAATCTTTTTGATAATTCTCTGTGAATATGTTGTGTGTTTATTATTTATAAACAGTTACTCTTTCTCTTTATCACGATACTTGGATTTTAAAAATTATAATTCTAGTCTATCTTTCATAAGCTTAACTAATTTATCTGAAAAGTCATTTGGTTACCAAAATTTAAAATGTTGAATTGGCTTAAATTTTATTTAGATTTAAAATAGCAAATTATCTCTACTAATGTACTTAAATAAATGTTCAGGTGCTTAAAGCTCTAAAAGTACACGTGTTGTATGCCTCTAAAAACTTACATATTAGCAAACTTTAAACATAATCTAATATATTTAAAGACCATAACAATAGATAAAACACGTAAAGAAAATCCTCAACATCACTTAACGAAATTTAATGACGCGAATGTTAAATTAAACTATTATTGCTAGCACGTTCTTCAGTCTATTTACACATGTACATATTAAGTATTTCTTTGAGACTCGTAAGCTGCTAACACTATTTATTGATATTCACTAGATAAACTATTAGAATTTTAAAATTGCATAAGAACACATTCTGAAAAACAAGAATGCATGATCCAATCTTTTCATGTTGAATAATAATACAGACGGAATAGCGAATGTTGAGATTGAACGTTGGCGCATTTATGTTATTATCATCCCTATAGTCCTAATTTAAATAAAAGTTATACTTGTAAGTAATAAAGTTTTTGTGAATAACCATTTACATGCACGTATATGTAGAGCGAAATTTTATTACGTGTTCATGTATTCGATATTATGTAAGCATTTTACATGTATAAGAACTTACCGTTATACATGTACATGTATATACAATTAAAACGAATAAAAAATTTTTTTAGGAGGAATTTCCATATATATATGAATTTTATCTTTCCTCAGACGAGAGAACAATCGAATTTGTTTTTTGTGTATTTGCAAGAATTTTTAATCGTTTTCAACATATTAAAATACAAGACTAAAAAAATTGAATAACCATTTAGTTTCTTATCGCTACACATTTTTATTTCGATGGTATCGTATACTGAACATGCACACTTGTACAATATCTAATCACGGTAGTGTTATAACAGTAACGCGATAACAACTAAAAATGGCTTTTTTTCTTGTCATACAAAAAAACGCACGATTATTGCTATATTTAAATAACCTTTTATCCATAATCTTCAAAGCATGAAATATGTCAAAAGTTATCAAAAATGAACACATGGTGGTTGAAAGCAAGCAGAGTCTGGCGATACTCAAGCACAATTTAATCTTGCTTTCTATTATGAAAATGGAGAAGGAACAAACAAAGATGAAGAGAAAGCATTCGAATGGTATTTAAAAGCAGCAGAGAGAGGGTACCTTGATGCGCAATATAATTTTGCTCTCTGTTATAAAAATGGAAAAGGAACAATCAGAGATGAAGAAAAAGCATTCGAGTGGTATTTGAAAGCAACAAAGTTTGGAATTCCTCAAGCACAGTTTAATCTTGCTCTCAGTCATGAAAGTGGAGAGATAATTATCAAAAAAAATTCGAGTGGTATTTAGAAGCAGCAGAGTCTGGATATTATAACACACAATTTAATCGTGCCCTTGTTATAAAAATGGAAAAGAAAGCATTCAAGTGGTATTTGAAAGCAGCAGAGACTGGAATTCCTCAAGCCCAATTTAATCTTGCTCTCCGTTATAAAAATGGAAAAGGAGCAATCAAAAATGGAGAAAAAGCATTCGAATGGTATTTGAAAGCAGCAGAGTCTGGATATTATAAAGCATAATATAACCTTGCTTTCTGTTATAAAAATGGAAAAGGAACAATTAAAGATGAAGAAGAAGCATCAAATGGTATTTGAAAGGAGCAGAGTCTCAAGCACAATTTAGCTTTGCTCTATGTTATAAAAATGGAGAAGGAACAATCAAGATTAAGAAAGAGCATTCGAGTGGTTTTTGAAAGCAGCAAAGTTTGGAATTCCTCAAGCCCAATTTCATCTTGCTCTCTGTTATAAAAATGAGAAGGAACAATCAGAGATGAAAAAAACATTTAAGTGATGGTTGAAAGCAGCGGAGGCAGGATACTTTGATGCGCAATATAATCTCGCTATCTGTTATAAAAATGGAAAAGGAACGATTAAAGATGAAAATAAAGCATTTGGCTGGTGTTTGAAAGCAGCAGAGTCTGGAGATACGCAAGCACAACTTAGCCTTGCTCTCTGTTATAAAAATGGAGAAGGCACAATCAAAGATGAATAAAAAAGCATTCGAATGGTGGTTGAAAGCAGCAGAATCTGGAGACCCTCGAACACACAATTTAAACTTGCTTTCTGTTATAAAAATAGAGAAAGAACATAAAAGTAGAGAAAGAACATAAAAGTAGAGAAAGAACATAAAAGTAGAGAAAGAACAATCAAAAAATGAAGAAAAATCTTTCGAGTGGTATTTGAAAGCAGCAAAGTTTGGAATTCCTCAAGCCCAATTTAATCTTACTCTCTGCTAAAAGGAACAATCAAAAATGAAGAAAAAGCATTCGAATGGTATTTGAAACAGCAGAATCTGGACTTATAAGGCACAATATAACCTTGCTTTCTGTTATAAAATGGAAAAGGAACAATTAAAGATGAAAAAAGCATTCAAATGGTATTTGAAAGCAGCAAAATCTGGAATTCCTCAAGCATAATTTAGCCTTGCTCTCTGTTATAAAAATGAGAAGGAACAATTAAAGATAAAGAAAAAGAATTCGAGTGGTATCTGAAAGCAGCAAAGTTTGGAATTCCTCAAGCCTAAATTAAGTTTGCTCTCTGTTATAAATATGGAGGAGGAATAATCAAAGATGAAAAAAAGCATTCAAATGGTGGTTGAAAGCAGCAGAGGCAGGATATCTTGATACGCAATATAATCTCGCTATCTGTTATAAAAATGGAAAAGGAACTATTAAAGATGAAGAAAAAACATCCAGGTGGTGTTTGAAAGCAGCAGCGTCTGGAGACACGCAAACATAATTTAGCCTTGCTCCCTATTGCAAAATGGAGAAGGAACAATCAAAGAGAATAAAAGCATTCGGGTGGTGGTTGAAAGCAGCAGAGGCAGGATACATTGGTGCGCGATACAATGTTGCTATCTGCTATGAAAATTGGAAAAGGAACAATCAAAGATGAAGAAAAAGCATTCGAGTGGTTTTTTAAAGTAGTAAAGTTTGAAATTTCTCAAGCACAATTTCTCTTTGTTTAAAAATGGAAAAGGGACAATCAAAAATGAAGAAAAAACATTCGAATGGTATTTGAAAGCAGCAGAATTTGGGTATTATAAAGCACAATATAACCTTGCTTTCTGTTATAAAAATGGAGAAGGAACAAATAAAGATGAAGAAAAAGCATTCAAAAAGTATTTGAATGCAACAGAGTCTGAGCTAATTTTTGTATTTGTTATAAAAATGGAGAAGGAACGATCAAAAATGAACAAACCGGTATGGCTCTGTCATTATATATTGTCACACTCAATTCGAAAGTTTGGTTGACGAATTTGAATATGTAAAAGGGGAGGGAATCAAAGATGAAGAAAAAGCATTCGAGTGGAATTTGAAAGCAGCAAGGGACATAATAAAGCTCAGTTTAATCTTATCAATATGGAATAGGTATTGAAAAAAATCTAAATTTGCATTTATATGGTATCAGCGGGTTAAAGAAAATGGACATGATCGTGCTTATGAAATTGTTGAATCTTTGAATTTTGAAGACAACTATTCAATCGAAAGTTGACATTTTATTATATTAGTCTTGAAGTACAGTCAGACCGCCCTAAATGTAACTTGCTCGGACCAACTTTTTGGCATCGTGCATTTAGAGAACAATAAGACATATTGCATTTATGGAGGTTAAGTATATATTTGGGCCAGCGTTTGAGCTTGCATTTAGAGAGGTGTTGCATTTAGGGAGGCTGCATTTAGGGAGGCTGCATTTAGGGAGGTTTGACTGTACTATTGTTTTTGCTATTTTTTAGAAAGGATAAACCAATTTTTTAAAGATAATTTTAAATATAAATCGTATTTGATTTCGAAATACAGTCGAATTTGATCTGGGTATAATGAAGAGCCAGTTTTTTAGTAAAAAAATTCGGCTTATTTAGTAAATTCAATAAATTTACTATGCCCGTTTCTTTATTCAACTTCAGTTTATTCAAATTTAATTAGTGCTTTGTAATGATCAGATTCGGCTGTATATTATTTTT